AAAACATCCCACATCTCATTTAATGAAGAACATCTAGAATTGTGGATTTCGGGGCCATTTCGGTTTTTGTAAACAGTACAATTTGAGGAGGCTTAATTGGAGGGGGGAGGGGGTCATTGCATCAGCGGTAGGTAAAGTAGAGTATATATCAGTAGCGGGCACTCCACCAACACTCCACCAAAACTTAACCTAACACTCCACCAACACTTAACCTAGCACCCCAACCATTCTAATTACAATTAGTGTAAACAAATCCACCAGGCAAAAATCAACTAGCGACTTGACGGAAAATTACGTGACGTTTTCCAATGACAGTGATTCCCATCCAATCCAAGTTTAATTGAAACCAATCCATGTTTTAAGCACAGAGGATATGTGTGGCGAGGGTGGGAGAGCGGGGGTGGGGGAGCGGGGGTGGGGGAGCGGGGGGTGGGGTGGATCGTGACGTGAACGGACAGCAAAAGATCCGGACTGCCGCCTGGCATTCTGATTGGGACTTTCTGGAACTTTGGGGAGAGATTTGCTTGAGCTGCCTCATCCCCCCCCACACACACTACCTAAAGCACAGATCATGTGACACACACACACCACCCAACACACACACACCACCCAACACACACACACCACCCAACACACACACTACCTAAAGCACAGATCATTTGACACACACACACTACCGTACTAACACATTACAGGACACACACACACACACACACACACACACACAAACCACCCAACACACACACACTACCTAAAGCACAGATCATGTGACACACAGACTACCGTACTAACACATTACAGGACACACACCACCCAACACACACACACCACCCAACACACACACACTACCTAAAGCACAGATCATGTGACACACACACTACCGTACTAACACATTACAGGACACACACCACCCAACACACACACACCACCCAACACACACACACCACCCAACACACACACACACACACACACCACCCAACACACACACACCACCCACCACCCACACCACCAATCGCCACCTTCACACCAATCCCTATTTAGTGACAGTTTTACAACAGATTTTAGCCTGCGGAATATCCTTTCTTTATAAATATCTCCATGAATTATTAACTTCTATTAGCCTCCCTCTCCCCCCACCCCCTCCCCGTATGAACCGACAGAATTCTACTTTAGTTTCCTGACGTAAGCAAAAGTTTTCTTAATTTAATTATTTCTGAGGTGTCTCTCCGAGTGTTCATCTAATTAGCCGTGGGTAATTAGTGACGTTGATTGCCTGCTTTGAAAAGATTCCTGTTGCTACGTCCCCCAATTACAGCGGCGCGTCCTTGACGACATGTTTCAGCAACATCTGACGTCACTTCCCGTGGAAAGTTTTCCCAGATCTTGAAACTCGGGGCATCTATATCTGACACAATTACTCCAGAAACTTGTGGCATCTATATCTGACACAATTACTCCAGAAACTTGTGGCATCTATATCTGACACAATTACTCCAGAAACTTGGGGCATCTATATCTGACACAATTACTCCAGAAACTTGGGGCATCTATATCTGACACAATTACTCCAGAAACTTGGGGCATCTATATCTGACACAATTACTCCAGAAACTTGGGGCATCTATATCTGACACAATTACTCCAGAAACGTGGGGCATCTATATCTGACACAATTACTCCAGAAACTTGGGGCATCTATATCTGACACAATTACTCCAGAAACGTGTGGCATCTATATCTGACACAATTACTCCAGAAACTTGGGGCATCTATATCTGACACAATTACTCCAGAAACTTGTGGCATCTATATCTGACACAATTACTCCAGAAACGTGTGGCATCTATATCTGACACAATTACTCCAGAAACGTGTGGCATCTATATCTGACACAATTACTCCAGAAACTTGTGGCATCTATATCTGACACAATTACTCCAGAAACGTGTGGCATCTATATCTGACACAATTACTCCAGAAACGTGGGGCATCTATATCTGACACAATTACTCCAGTAACTTGGGGCATCTATATCTGACACAATTACTCCAGAAACTTGGGGCATCTATATCTGACACAATTACTCCAGAAACTTGGGGCATCTATATCTGACACAATTACTCCAGAAACTTGGGGCATCTATATCTGACACAATTACTCCAGAAACTTGGGGCATCTATATCTGACACAATTACTCCAGAAACTTGGGGCATCTATATCTGACACAATTACTCCAGAAACTTGGGGCATCTATATCTGACACAATTACTCCAGAAACTTGAGCATCTATATCTGACACAATTACTCCAGAAACATTTATTTTGCTGGCTAGGGATCTCGGAGAGATAAATTTCGGATGCGGGTAAAAAAGAAATTGCGATTTAAATGTTTGTTTGATCGCTATGTCAACGAAATCGGTTCGTCCTTGTCTTAACATCATTAGGGGATGGGTGGGGGGGGGCGCATTTTTAGTGTCAAACAAATATAATCGAGAGGTGATTTATTTCTGATTAAAACAAAAAATCTAGTGGAAAGTAGTGTAGTGGATGGTGGATCTGGTGGGTGGTGGATCTGGTGAGTGTTGGATCTGGTGGATGGTAGATCTGGTGGATGGTGGATCTGGTGGGTGGTGGATCTGGTGGATGGTAGATCTGGTGGATGGTGGATCTAGTGGGTGGTGGATCTGGTGGGTGGTGGATCTGGTGGGTGGTGGATCTGGTGGGTGGTGGATCTGGTGGGTGGTGGATCTGGTGGGTGGTGGATCTGGTGGGTGGTGGATCTGGTGGATGGTAGATCTGGTGGATGGTGGATCTAGTGGGTGGTGGATCTGGTGGGTGGTGGATCTGGTGGGTGGTGGATCTAGTGGATGGTGGATCTGGTGGATGGTGGATCTGGTGGGTGGTGGATCTGGTGGATGGTAGATCTGGTGGATGGTGGATCTAGTGGGTGGTGGATCTGGTGGGTGGTGGATCTGGTGGGTGGTGGATCTAGTGGATGGTGGATCTGGTGGATGGTGGATCTGGTGGATGGTGGATCTGGTGGATCTGGTGGGTGGTGGATCTGGTGGGTGGTGGATCTGGTGGGTGGTGGATCTGGTGGGTGGTGGATCTGGTGGATGGTGGATCTGGTGGATGGTGGATCTGGTGGGTGGTGGATCTGGTGGGTGGTGGATCTGGTGGATGGTGGATCTGGTGGATGGTGGATCTGGTGGGTGGTGGATCTGGTGGGTGGTGGGTTTGGTGGGTGGTGGATCTGGTGGGTGGTGGATCTGGTGGATCTGGTGGGTGGTGGATCTGGTGGGTGGTGGATCTGGTGGATCTGGTGGGTGGTGGATCTGGTGGGTGGTGGATCTGGTGGATGGTGGATCTGATGGGTGGTGGATCTGGTGGATCTGGTGGGTGGTGGATCTGGTTGATCTGGTGGGTGGTTGATCTGGTGGGTGGTGGATCTGGTGGGTGGTGGATCTGGTGGATGGTGGATCTGGTGGGTGGTGGATCTGGTGGGTGGTGGATCTGGTGTGTGGTGGATCTGGTGGGTGGTGGATCTGGTGGGTGGTGGATCTGGTGGATCTGGTGGGTGGTGGATCTGGTTGATCTGGTGGGTGGTTGATCTGGTGGTTGATCTGGTGGGTGGTGGATCTGGTGGGTGGTGGATCTGGTGGGTGGTGGATCTGGTTTATCTGGTGGGTGGTTGATCTGGTGGGTGGTGGATCTGGTGGGTGGTGGATCTGGTGGGTGGTGGATCTGGTGGATGGTGGATCTGGTGGGTGGTGGATCTGGTGGGTGGTGGATCTGGTGGGTGGTGGATCTGGTGGGTGGTGGATCTGGTGGGTGGTGGATCTGGTTGATCTGGTGGGTGGTGGATCTGGTTGATCTGGTGGGTGGTTGATCTGGTGGTTGATCTGGTGGGTGGTGGATCTGGTGGGTGGTTGATCTGGTGGGTGGTGGATCTTGTGGGTGGTGGATCTGGTGGGTGGTGGATCTGGTGGGTGGTGGATCTGGTGGGTGGTGGATCTGGTTGATCTGGTGGGTGGTTGATCTGGTGGTTGATCTGGTGGGTGGTGGATCTGGTGGGTGGTTGATCTGGTGGGTGGTGGATCTTGTGGGTGGTGGATCTGGTGGGTGGTGGATCTGGTGGGTGGTGGATCTGGTGGGTGGTGGATCTGGTGGGTGGTGGATCTGGTGGGTGGTGGATCTGGTGGGTGGTGGATCTGGTGGGTGGTGGATCTGGTGGGTGGTGGATCTGGTGGGTGGTGGATCTGGATGATCTGGTGGGTGGTTGATCTGGTGGGTGGTTGATCTGGTGGATGGTGAATCTGGTGGGTGGTGGATCTGGTGGGTGGTGGATCTGGTGGGTGGTGGAAAGTTAATCTGGTGGATGGTAGATCTTGTTGGTGGTGGGTGGTGGATCTAGTGGATGGTGGATGTGGTGGATTGTGGATGTGGTGGATCTGGTGGATAGTTGATCTGGTGGATATTGGATCTGGTGGATGGTGTATCTGGTGGATAGTGGATCTGGTGGGTGGTGAATGTGGTGGGTGGTGGATCTGGTGGGTGGTGGATCTGGTGGATATTGGATCTGGTGGATGGTGGATCTTGTGGGTGGTGGATCTGGTGGGTGGTGGATCTGGTGGATCTGGTGGGTGGTGAATCTGGTGGGTGGTGGATCTGGTGGATCTTGTGGGTGGTGGATCTGGTGGGTGGTGGATTTGGTGGATGGTGAATCTGGGGATCTGTTGGGTAGTTGATATGGTGGATATTGGATCTGGTGGATGGTGGATCTGGTGGATAGTGGATCTGGTGGATCTGGTGTGTGGTGGATCTGGTGGGTGGTGGATGGTGGTAGGGTGGGTGGTGGATCTGGGTGGATCTATTATTGGTTTCCTCTCGAATAACTGACTAGCCAAGGTTTAACTGTATGTTTAGTTAGACAAGGTTTAACTGTAGCTTTAGTTAGCCAAGGTTAGCTAATGTTTAACCCATGTTTCTGTTGACCACCAGGGCCACGGAGTTCTCTATCGGCCTGACGACAGCTTTCATCGCCTTCTTCAGCCTCAACCACCGCCATCAGCGGACCAGGAGACGGCTACAGCAGCAGCAGCAGGTAGACCACACCAGAGACTGTGTCGTCTGACAGCCACATGTGGCGCTGGTGACAACCACATGTGACGTTGGTGACAACCACATGTGACGCTGGTGACAACCACATGTGGCGCTGGTGACAACCACATGTGACGCTGGTGACAACCACATGTGGCGCTGGTGACAACCACATGTGACGCTGGTGACAACCACATGTGGCGCTGGTGACAACCACATGTGACGCTGGTGACAACCACATGTGACATATAAAAACAGTTCCTGACCGTGGTACCATGGGAACTGCCAAGAAAAAAAGGCCAGAGACCAGCAATAGTGGAGGGAGCTTTATGGGGCTGCCCCTGTGTCGTGGGTACAAAAGATGACATGTGACCCCCCCCCCCCCCCAATCACAACCACATCTGGCAATTTGTGACAACCCGGTATGTCAGAAAACCCCATCTGATAATGTTTATCTAAACCACAAAATACGTTGTTATACAGCGCATATGTCGACAACCCTGAATGTCACGACAACCCTGAATGTCACGACAACCCTGCTGAAGTATTTCTCTTCAGATTCTGGCCGCATATCAGTCCCGGTAACGGTGTTGACTACTGCTTAAAGTGGTACCATATAACGGAAATGTGAACAAATAGAGAAGCGTGAAAAGTGTACATAAAACACCTCTGTATATAGGCAAAACGTTTGCATACAACATGTAAATTACAGACTGACCTTGACCTATCAATTTCAAGGATTACTTATGTACAGTTGCCTGTTTAAAGAGACTGACAGATGACCTACTGACATGTGACTTACTGACAGATGACTTACTGACAGGTGACATACTGACAGGTGACATACTGACAGGTGACTTACTGACAGGTGACATACTACTCCTGAAAAATGTTGACATTTTATTAGTTTTAATCTTTTCATTCATTTGATCAACTGTTTTAATCTGAAATTAAAAATTCAAACGTATTTTGTGCGTGTTTAATGTCATTTTTTGTACATGTATTGCATTGTGTGAAGCTAGCTGATTAATAGCATCTACCGATGGTAAAGTTTGACTGATCTTATACACAAGTTTGTGTACACCTGTCTGTGTACACCAGAATAATTCATTACGTACACCAAGACTCAGCCCTAAATCATGCCTGGCACAATGCTGTATGACGTCAATGAGGTTACATTGAGTTGATTGGTGCGCTTGTTGCTAATGGGAACAATCATGTGAAACAGATCACATAAATCAAAACACATCATGGGATGTGGATACAGATCAACTTAAAGACATGGGATGTCGCACATCGTGGGATGTGGAACATTATGGAGCCCAAATACAAAATGAGTCACGCCTTTTTTAAAATTCTCCTTCCCCAGCTGTAGACTGCATTTTATCATCAACAAAAGTGTCGAACTAGTTTAAATTAGTAGGGTCGGTGTGGTCGAGTCGGTAACGCTCATGGTCGCTAAACCGTAAAGTCTCGAGTTCAAACTCTCTTGTCAGTTAAGGCTCGTTAACTCTTCTAGTATGTTCGTGGTTGGACAAAGGTTAAGTCTGCAGATCCAAAAAAAAGCAGGCTATTAACACGTATACTTGTTTTGCAAGGAATCGCTTCCAACGTTAAAATTAAGAAGGAACCAAAAGAATAATTAGTTGTCAATATCAGTACATGCACATTTTTATCTGAACAGAATGATGAGTTGTTTTTTTTTGAAAACTATCTTAAATACACTTAAGTTCTTTTGCATTTGGACTTCTCATGTAATGTGGGGGATGGCACATCATCTGATGTGGGATGTGCACATCATGTAATGTGGGATGTGGCACATCATGTGATGTGTGATGTGGGATGTGGGATGTGGGATGTGGCAATCATGTGATGTGGGATGTTTGATGTGGCACATCATGTGATGTGCACATCATGTAATGTGGGATGTGGCACATGTGATATGGGATGTGCACATCATGTGATCTGGGATGTGCACATCATGTGATGTGGGATGTGCACATCATGTGATGTGGCAAACATCAAGCACCCAATAGTTGATTATCTCAGCACGCACATCTCAGCCCTAAACACACCCTCCACCCCCACTCCCCGCCCCCAAATGTTAAAAACCCTAATTAGATCTCCATAATTGGAAAATTGACCAAATGTATATCACGATAATTGAACATCCATGATGGCCAGTAAAAAAAATTCAATTACTTAAAAAATTTTTTAAGGCTGAGTGCTTTCATTGAACGTTTGCGCGTGACTTGGTTATTACACGGCCGTGACGTCACATGACCTTTCAAAAGCCAATCAGAGTGGAATCTAATAATTTTTTACAATCCCCCCCCTATCTGGCAGTAAAACACTAAACGTCAACAAACTAGCTAGCCTAGTTTCAGTAAAATACTAAACCTTCATATTTTCAAGATCACAAAATGAAGTAGGGTGAGGGGGGGGGGGAGAGAGAGAGGATGAATGCCAACCTACCCAGATGGAAAGTTAATCCTTGAGTTTACAAATGATGAAAAGATAACCCGGCAAATCGTACTGTAGCTAGAGTTGTCTGTGTGTGTGTCTGTGTGTGTGGGGGGGGGGGACTAGAGTTGCCTGCAGTGTTTCTTCCAGACTTTTTTCTCCAGGGGGGACGGGGGGACTTTATATTTTCGGGGGGGGAGGGGGGGGGAGCATACAACATTTACCGGGGGGTGGGGGCGGACACTGGTAAAAGTATGTGTTGTCTGTGGGGGTGGGGCTAGAGTTGTCTGTGGGGGTGGGGCTATTGTATGTGGGGGTGGGGCTATTTTCTGTGGGGGTGGGGCTATTGTCTGTAGAGGTGGGGCTAGAGTTGTCTGTGGGGTGGGGCTAGAGTTGTCTGTGTGGGTGGGGCTAGAGTTTTCTGTGGGGGTGGGGCTAGAGTTTTCTGTGGGGGTGGGGCTAGAGTTTTCTGTGGGGGTGGGGCTAGAGTTGTCTGTGGGGGTGGGGCTAGAGTTGTCTGTGGGGGTGGGGCAAGAGTTGTCTGTGGGGGTGGGGCTGACCACAATCTGACCACACGGCTGACCACGGGATTGCCATTAATTGAGGAGACGCCAGTTTATTCAGTTAGTGGCTTCTGACGTCATCTTATCAGCAGGCGTCAAACTAATGACGTAACTGTGCTGTAAAAAAAGCTAATTAGAACCAGACAACGCCATATTTTTCTTGGCCCCCTCCCCCCTCCGCATCACAGCACCCCAGGAATCAAGTCGCAAATGTGCGCCCTGCTGTCGCCTGTGTCCAGTGGTGATCAAAGACGGAGACCCGGGCTCATTAAGATCACGCTCATAAAACCTTGATGGCAGCTGTCAATCACTGACCAAGAGTTCCAGAAGTGTCACCTGCCACAGCTAAAAAGTGAGACCTACAAAAGCTGTGTGAGACTACACCAATCATTTCAGTCAGACCGGTGTGAGAGTCTACACCCAGGATCTGAACTCAAGACTTTCGGGTCAGCAGTCGAACGCTGCACCATTCGACCACAGCGTTCCACGTGTGGGTTGTTCTAACTCTCGGTCTTCTTAGCTGGGGCAGCGTGTTCATGGCAAGTATATGTGTTGGTGTGTTGGTCCTGTGTTGTTGGTGTGTTGGTGGTGTGTTGGTGGTGTGTTGGTGGTGTGTCGTTGTTGTGTTGGTGGTGTGTTGTTGTTGTGTTGGTGGTGTGTTTGTGTGTTAATGATGTGTGGCTTTAGCTCTAGTTATATGTGTGTACGTGTGTGTTTCTGTATCCGACGTGTGTGTCAGTCTTTGTGTCTGTGGTTTTGTGTGGCTGTGTGTCAGTATGTGTGTGTGTGTGTGTGTGTGTGTGTGTGTGTGTGTGTGTGTGTGTGTGTGTGTGTGTGTGTGTGTGTGTGTGTGTGGCTACATGTGTGGAACATATCGATGACGTCAGATTTGTACTGTCTAATTTTAAAACAATTCACATCTCCTGTCTGGCCTACTCCGCTGGAGGGGTCCTACATAACGACAGCGACCCCTATCTACAGGGGTCAGATCCCAGCAGCTCTGAGAGCCGTGGTTACTTGATGACGTCGTAATGGAGCCGGTAATTAGGTTCCCGCCTCACCCAGGGGTCATCGAGAATTGTGATGGGGGTCATCGTGGCAGCCCACGGTTTTCTTATGCAAGAATAGAAATCAATCTATTTTTGATCGAGATGAAATATTGATTTTTTTTTCGCCCTCCCCCCCCCCCACATAACCACTAACGTTCGCCCCATCCCCCAACCCCTAGCTCCAGCTCCCCCCCCCCCCCCCCAACTTGGCTAACTGAACTACTAAAGATGGATCTAAATTGAAAACCATTTTTATGCAACAGTGTCAAATAGTGCTGTAATGAATCTGGGCTCTGTGTGTAGGGGGCGGTGCTGTGTGTGTAGGGGGGCGGTGCTCTGTGTGTAGGGGCGGTGCTGTGTGTGTAGCGGGCGGTGCTCTGTGTGTAGCGGGCGGTGCTCTGTGTGTAGCGGGCGGTGCTCTGTGTGTAGGGGCGGTGCTGTGTGTGTAGGGGCGGTGCTGTGTGTGTAGGGGGCGGTGCTCTGTGTGTAGGGGGCGGTGCTCTGTGTGTAGGGGCGGTGATCTGTGTATAGCGGTGCTGTGTGTGTAGGGGCGGTGCTCTGTGTGTAGGAGGGGGTGCTCTGTGTGTAACGGGCGGTGCTCTGTGTGTAGGAGGGGGTGCTCTGTGTGTGTGGGGGGGCGGTGCTCTGTGTGTAGGGGCGGTGCTCTGTGTGTGTGGGGGCGGTGCTCTGTGTGTAGGGGCGGTGCTCTGTGTGTGTGGGGGGGCGGTGCTCTGTGTGTAGGGGCGGTGCTCTGTGTGTAGGGGCGGTGCTCTGTGTGTAGGGGCGGTGCTCTGTGTGTGTGGGGGGGGCGGTGCTCTGTGTGTAGGGGCGGTGCTCTGTGTGTAGGGGCGGTGATCTGTGTGTAGGAGGGGGTGCTCTGTGTGTAACGGGCGGTGCTCTGTGTGTAGGAGGGGGTGCTCTGTGTGTAACGGGCGGTGCTCTGTGTGTAGGGGCGGTGCTCTGTGTGTAGGGGGCGGTGCTGTGTGTGTAGGGGGGCGGTGCTC